GGGCTGCTGCCATGGAGCCAAGGGTCAGCTGGAGACTCGCCAGCTGATCCTGGGTTCTGTGTGGCACTTCCCCAGAATGCTGCCTCTGACATTTCAAAGGGGCAGTGCCGTGGAGCCCAGGGTCAGCTGGGGACTCCCCAGCTGATCCCAGGCTCCACGTGGCATTTCCCCAGAATCTGGGATCAGCTGGGAATTCCCCAGCTGGGAACTCCCCAGCTGACCCCAGGCTTTGTGGTGCTGCCCCTTTGAAATGCTTTGGGGTTTCAAAGTGGCAGCGGCACATAGCTGAAGTACCCTTTGAAGTACCTTTTCTTCCCCCCACTTTGCTGCCTCTCTCTGATAGAGGCAGCAAGGAGGAAGGGGGGAAATCAACTAGTTGACTGACTATCCAATAAGCATTTGCTTATCGGATAATCGACTAGTCCTTAACATCCTTAGTATGTATTGTTATTCCTCTTGCATGAGATGTTTAACCCACAGAACCATGGGGTTAGACTGGACCACAAGGGTCACCTAGTCTCTTGTGCCAAAGTGCAAGATTTGTTGTGTCTAAACCACCCAAGAACATGGCTTATTTTAACAGGGAGTTTTAGAGCCGGGGTTCTCAAAATTCTTTGCTCCAGCACCCCCCCGACAACAAAAATTACTACACAACCTCAGGACACAAGAGCCTGAGCTCGCCTGAGCCCCACAAGCCAGGGTTGGGGAGCCAAAGCCAAAAACCAAGATCCTGTATCCTGAGCCCAACAACCCTGTGCTGAAGCTCTCAGACTTGGGTGCTAACCCTGGGCCCCCATAAATTACCATAAAACACCAGCCCTGGTGCCCTGCCCCTCAGTCGACCCACAGTCCGAGAACGGCCGTTTTAGAGATTACGTTGCCTGGGGATAGGTACCAGAACAGGGAATTGTGCATTTCCAGGACACGAGTTGGAATGGAGCCCAGGTGGCTAGTGACTGGAAGCTGTTACCATGGGAACACGGAACTCGTGTCAACAGAGTTCTAGACTCCGTTCCAGCTCTCAGTGAATTCATGTCCCCATCACCAGCTAGTGCTCTTGCTTGCAGCTCTCATAGAGAAGCCTAGGACTGAAGGATATGCAGACTATCCATAGAGGAGGTCCCTGCAGGTCAGGACAGAGGTACATTGGTGGGCTATTTGGGGAAAAAATCCACAGCACTCAACCGGGTCGAGCACTTCATGGAAAGATACAGTGCAAGGTTTTCCTACCGCACCACTCTGTCAATGCACCATTGTCCTGATATGTAATACCCCTGCTTTCCAGCGTCAGTCCTTTCTGTGACAGAGATTTCCATGTGTGTCAAATCATGGCCAGTTGGATGAGGGGGAAATCCTGGGTTCTTTTTAAGATTCATTACGCATCTTGATAGAAGTGCTCCGCATTTTCCAAAGGAAGCCCTGGTGGATTCTTCTTAGTCTAGGTGAAGCAAAACTAGCAAATAAATGCAGCTACAGAGCATTGCAAGGACCTGTTTGTGACAAGCGGTTTGGAACAGGTACCATACGAGGAGAGGTTAAAGCGACTGGGACTTTTCAGTTTAGAAAAGAGGAGACTGAGGGGGGATATGATAGAGGTCTATAAAATCATGAGTGGTGTGGAGAGGGCCGATAAAGAAAAGTTATTTATTAGTTCCCTAAATAGAAGAACTAGAGGACACCAAATGAAATTAATGGGGAGCAGGTTTAAAACTAATAAAAGAAAGTTCTTCTTCACACAGCGTGTAGTCAACCTGTGGAACTCCTTGCCAGAGGAGGCTGTGAAGGCTAGGACTATAATAGAGTTTAAAGAGAAGCGAGATGATTTCATGGAGGTTAGGTCCATAAAAGGCTATTAGCCAGGGGATAAAATGGTGTCCTTGGCCTCTGTTTGTCAGAGGCTGGAGATGGCAGGAGACAAATTGCTTGATCATTGTCTTTGGTCCACCCTCTCTGGGGCACCTGGTGCTGGCCACTGTCGGCAGACAGGATACTGGGCTAGATGGACTTTTGGTCTGACCCAGTACGGCCATTCTTCTGTTCTTATGTAAGCAAGAGATTTTAACATTGCTCCTTCAACTGAATGAGTTTTAAGTGGAGAGCCACCAAGTTTTATTGCCAATGTACCACACAGCATAATCCCAGCCCCAAACTTCTGGAAATGTAATGACTTGTTATCAGTGTTGATTTTTCAAACTGTTTCCTCCTATCTAAAGTGTAAGATCAAGAGGGCAGAGTTGGAGAATTACGTCTCAGTTAAATTTATAAACAAGCAGGTTAGTGGTCATCCCCATCTCAGCCATTTTTTCCTAAAAGGGTCACTATATTTGATTTTACACATGTGAAATTCATAATTTGAGTATGTCAATGCTGACTGCTTTGGAGGTGAATTGAGGGATATTGCACGAAGCAAGAGATTTCATACAACTTTACCCATGTCCTTTTCTGTCCTTGTCTTCATACCTGCCAATCAAGAAGAAATTTGTTACTACTAATATGCTCACTTACTATTGATTTTTGCTGGAGGATCTCAAAGCATCTTATACACCTTCAGAAATTGCCACCTACCTCTAAGGCACTAAAGTTAAATATTAGCCCCATTTTACACATTGCAAAGTTGAGGCACAGAGACAATATTATCAGACTTTAGAACCCTAAAGTAGGTGCCCAAGTCTATAATTAGGCTTCCAATATTTCAGAGGTGCTACGCAATGACAACTACCATAGACTCTGAAAATCAGAACATTTTCATTTGGATGCCTATTTTAGTTTGACCTCTGAGAGTTTGACCTCTGACAGTTTTTCAAGCCTAGGCAGAAATTTGATGTCAGGACTAGGAACAGAATCTAGATCTCCTGACTCTACTCCAGTGCACAAACTAACTCCTCATTGGGTCATCTCATGAAAACCACCTTTGTGCTTTATGCAGGTCCATTGCAACTCTTCCCACAGATACTGAGACTTTGCCAGTATGTTTTGTCTCAGGTGCGCTCTCTTGTGAGAAAGCGATGCTCTTGGTGTATTTAAACAGGACTAATTCTATACCTGCTCCACATGAGAAACTCCCATTAACAATAGGTCTTGGAAGCAGGTTCAGGCAGGGGCTCTGTATGAACTGGCCAGGTTATAAACTAATCAAAGAATTAAAAAGCCCCTTTTCTGAACTTTATGTACCACTCAATATTCAGATGTGAAATGGAACTAAAGTCACATTATTCATAAGAAAATGATTTAAAAGTTAAGATAAAAGAGAGACACCGGGTGTCAGTTCAGAACCTGGGCCTTGATTCTGCACTGTCTTGCTTCTTGTAAAACCACGTCTATCGCAGTGAATGAGTGCACAGTGAGTGCAAAGCACCATCAGACCAGAACTCATCACTGATTTACACCAGTGGAGCCATTTTACACCAAACTTGCCAAGGTGTGATCTCACACAGTTCCACTAGTGTATGCGGCAGTGACGAATTAGGGCCAATGGGGGGGAAGGTAAATCCCACCTGCAGCAAAAGCAGAGTGAAATTAACTGGTAGGAGCTTTGGTGGTGTTATAGGCCTGGTGGATACAGAGGGGAGCTGGAAGGTCTGCCTAATAGGAACAGGAGGGAAAGGAAATCCTTGCGGAGTGGAGCCATAGAATAATTTCCTGTAGTGAAAAGCTAGGGCATTAGCTCAGCACATCATTTTGCCCCTGGAAATAGTGAGCTTTAAATTATCTTGTGCGTTTTTGAGCTTTCTGAAGCTAGGATTGCAGACATCAAGCCAGGGAAGGCAGCTTATAAACTCTTGTAATCAAATCGAAGATGGCCTCTAGTTAAGGTTTCAGGCTGGGCCTTCCCCGTTCCACACGCTTCCAGATCTTTTCCGCACTAGGTCAGTCCCCCATGCGATATGCAATGTGTGACGCAGGCACAATACATTCTGTAAGTCTAGCTCCATGAAATCCAGAGGGCTCATGTACACATCCTGACAGGTCGGTCCATGCTGCCATTGCTTACCCGAGAGTGGCCATTAGCGCGTCTGTCACCATCATGCGCTCGCGTGTCAGAACTTCCGCCTCTTTCACTGCAAGGTCAGAGTTCATAGTCAGAGGCGCAAGGAGTTGTTTTGCACCAGGAGGCAGATATCTTACCCTGCCCTCGCCTTGCAGGGACGGTGGAGTTGGGCATTACAGCTCTCATGTATATCATAGAATCATTGAATCACAGAATCATAGACTACTAGGACTGGAAGGGACCTCGAGAGGTCATCGAGTCCAGCCCCCTGCCCTCATGGCAGGACCAAATACTGTCTAGACCATTCCTGATAGACATTTATCTAACCTGCTCTTAAATATCTCCAGAGATGGAGATTCCAAAACCTCCCTGGGTAATTTATTCCGGTGTTTAACCACCCTGACAGTTAGGAACTTTTTCCTAATGTCCAACCTAAACTTCCCTTGCTGCAGTTTAAGCCCATTGCTGCTTGTTCTATCCTGAGGCCAAGATGAACAAGTTTTCTCCCTTCTCCTCATGACACCCTTTTAGATACCTGAAAACTGCTCTCACGTCCCCCCTCAATCTTCTCTTTTCTAAACTCAACAAACCCAATTCCCTCAGCCTTCCCTCATAGGTCATGTTCTCTAGACCGTTCATCATTCTTGTTGTTCAATCTGGTTGTTGGAGCAGAGCTCTGCCAGATCCCTCCCTGTCCTGCCCATCCCCCCCTCACCCAATGCCATGCCCCTTCCCTCCCCTTACACCAAGGAGTGGGAGAGGGAAGCCGACAAAAGAGGTTGTGGAGAATTTCTCTGCGCAGGAGGAATTCTCCACTGGCCAAGCTCAGACGCTTTAAGTCAGAGAGATGATGAAAAGTAGCCCTAGAATGAAGAATCCAAGGTTTCTAAAAAGCTGATGTTTGGAGCCTGTTTTCCTCCTCTTTTCCCCCCTGTGGGGGCGGGGGCG